ACCCCCCCCCCCAAACAGTTCCACCATATGGGGCGATCGTAAGAGTCGAAGGCCACTCTGATATCCTAAAAAACCGTAATGGTTTTTCGTCTGTATGTGTAGCGATGGTCTAGTAGCTGACAGAGGGTGAAGATTTAATCTATGCAGCCAAGGCGTTCACGAAAGGCGGCCTGCTCCTCACGAATTGGGTTAAACCTGCGTAATAATACAGACACAGGCAGCGTCGGTGCTATTGGAATCAAACTTATGCCCCTGTGGTTGCAACAGCCCTTCCTGTGGGTGTAACAATCGAAACAATCGACTCTTCCCATGGGAGCATTTCTAGGAGTCCGGGACGATTAGCCATAGTACCAACCATCGGTGTAGATGATCCCACCATTCAGGGAGCCTAAAGCGACTTACATGACCGAGTCTTCTGGGTAGAATTTTGATACCCTCACGCTAGGTCTTAGTTTGACCACCCTTTACTGTTTCCCCTCATCACCTGCCTCAGCGAACCGCGCGCGCCGTGGCAGTCAATTTAGTGACATGCGTAACAAATGCCCCAACTAACGCAGTCTATGGAGGTCGAGCACTTGCTTCAATGAGGGTATGAAAACCCTAACCAGGACACTGGATCACATAGTCTATATGAATTCTCGACCTTTCTCTTGAATTTGCTCGCAATATTCCTATCTTCATTTTGCCCTTTGATTAAAATGGACGGCCAAAAGACAACAATCCAAACCGGCGCAGGAAAGTGCATGGTTGGAAAAACTGAACTCAGTGAGGAAAAAGAAACGGAGGTAAATGAAATTTTATTGAATGGTAGTTAACTTACTTGATGCAGGGGATACCTAGGTGCGTCCGCAACGTAGATGTCTGCACCTGCCTTGATGAGAATTTTAACCATTTGCAAATGGCCCAATTCAACAGCCAGATTCAGCGGACAGACCCCACCAATAACCATACTCGGATCGACTTTGTTCGGATAACTGAATAGGTATTGCAGTGTTTCTACATTATTGCTCCGAATGGCTCCGCGTAAAAGCCAAGGAATTTGGGATTTGCTGATACGAGGCTTATGACGTTGTTTGGAGTATCGAACACCCATCGAAAAAAACGATAGAAGGAAAACGGAGTCTCGGGGAATTTCAAGTTAAAAAGTCATTAGAGAACTCAGCAGCGAAACTGCTGCAGTTGGTTGATTTGATAGAGCCAGTTGGATAGGCATTCAACAAAGTATTCGCACGTTTCGCCGGAGACTTCGACAAATGAACCACCCGAACCTCATCTGGAACAAGATTTACAAAATACAAGTGAGAGCATCACAAAAATACCGTTGGTGAAAATGAGATCCAACTTATGATACTCTATTGTTAACATCTGGGGAGGCTTTTGAATGCCCTATTATGGTTATGGGTGGCTGTCTTGGGTTGTCACTAGTTATCATCATTAATGAACAGCGAAATGCAGTGAAGCGAAATTCGCTGTTCGCTGCCCAATTCACAATTAATACAAAGTTAGCGAGGATATTTAAGATGGACAGGGGTTGGACCTATTTTGAGGAAGGGGGAAGGTGGACCTCTATGGTCAACATACAGTACACAACCTAACAGTGTATACATACCTTTTCAAACATTCTGGCGTTATGAGAAACGACTACAAGAACGCCGCTGCTGTCGGCTCGCTACCATATTCTTCAATGTTTCCAACTAACCAGTTGATGAGTCTTTCGGACCCCAACCTGGAAGGCCCGAGACATCTACTCCACCTAATGGCTCTGCGCATTTCTTTATGCCTCGTCTCCACGTCATCTGTTGACCTCCACGTGGTTTCCTCCGGCCCGGAGCGGCTACAGCGAATAAAGCAATGTGCAGCAGACGACAGCTAGGTATACACAATACGTGCCCTAGCCAGCTAAACCTTCTAATCTGAACTCGATATGTTAGCAGGTTTATCTCTGATAGGCTCAAACCAAACGACGGCTCACCTCCAGGTTGCTAACGCGTTCGCTGCATCTCACGTGGGCTAAAGTATATAAACAGCGATAATCGAAAACGTCTAATCGATCAACATCCTCTACTCGTAAGATCGTAATTGCTGTCGGTTTGCTGCCATGACCTTCAGGGTCTCCAACCATTCAGTTAAGGAGCCTTCGACTCGAACGCCTGACCCACAAGGCAGTGGGGCGTAAATACAACTTGGAAGCGTGACCGAAGCACCCGTGTAGGGTAACGGAAGGCCTAGTTTCAGTTCGTTTACATAACCCGTAGCCTTGTATTATCGCGCGGTGGTTTCGTTTGCCCTTTTGGGAGAATGAATAAGGGGATGCAGAAAACTAAGGTAGTCATTAAGAATAAAGAGAACTCAGGTATAGTAACGGAACGAAAGAAATGAGTAGATTTACAAGTGCCAGTGTTTTGGGACAAATCCCGCGGTAGCCAACCGCAAGGCTTGACGCAATATATAGACTAACTCCATAGTCACGATTTTAATACCCTCATTTCAGATTTTGGTTAGATCGCCGTTCACTTTCTTCTATTCATCATCTTTCACAGCAAACATTGCACACCAAGGAAGTCTATCTAATTACGTGCGTACCACAGCCACCTGGAATCATGTAAACCCAACAGTTTCTCCAGTGCACGAGTGTAATCAACTAAAAATCTACGTCTAACCTAGGTATTTTTTGTCTGACTTTCCCGCTAGACTTGTGCAATATGCTGTTCCCACAATGATTGTCTGTAGTCATCCTGTCCCCCTGGTCACGTCTTTCCACCATACGAGAGAATCGGTAGACAGCCACAGAAAACATTTCAGCCTTCAGCGATAGCCGAATGTTGCAACTGTGCCATGGATGCCTCAAGTAGGCAAACGCCAACCGAGATCTCTGTATGCGTGACGACACATCATCCACGACACCAGGTGAGATGTAGCGGCCTTGGTCGCAAAGTTTGCCTACTTTCTCCAACTCCAATTACTAACAGATGGCAAACTGTCTCATATGGAGTATACAGACAATATTGTAGTGTCAAATAAAGATCCGGGTAAGGTGCAAGCATTTCTGGATATTCTGAGTGCTAGTGCAGCTGTGTTCGATGTGTGTTCTGCAACTTCAAGGTGTAAAATTACGCTACAGGACATGGTTGGTCCAGCTCTCAACCTCACTCGAAATGAGGAAGTTATACAGGAAGTAGACAAATTGTACTGTCTCGAAAACTATACCTCACTTGGCGGACACATCTTGGAAGTTTCGGTGCATAAGTAGTAAGCTGGATTGGCGTCTGCCAATGGAGACATTTCTGGCGCCATCGCTACATCCGCCTTTCTTTGAAGGGTCAAATGTATGCTGCAGTACCTCTGTTTGCTATACGGCACTGAGGCTTGATCATTGAGAAAACATGATAAAGATAGACTATCGGTATTCGAAAACCGCTGTTTACGTCGTAATGCACCAGTCTGGTGGGGAAAGCGGAATTTTAGGTAATCACGGTCATCCACCGGGGTAATTGGTCGACCTC